CGAATGGCATCAATGAGTCGAATACGCATATAGCCTTTTTATATTATCAACCACGGTAGGAGCTTTACCAAATTTTTGAAGCTGTAATAAAAATTTATAAAAAAAATTAATATAAAATATGCATGAATATAATACGAAAAATAACAAAAAAATATATAAGACTAGACTTACATGTTCATGAGACCACCCACTAATACTAGTTCGACCCCAATGGTGGTCGGTAGGGATTTTCATTCGGGATTCTCGGCATTTATCAGACTTGGACTGTGAATAGACACATGTTAATAAACTTCGATTAAATTTATTTGAACATGACAAATTAGAAAAAAAAAAATCAAAAGAAATATAATTTACCTTGCCATCACCACTAGAATCAGATATAGAAAAAAATTGATCACACAATTCCTCCCATGTAGATGAACTAATCAATCCCTCCGGACGATTTGCCTTAGCAGTGGCAAGATCTGGTGCTCTATCATAAAATTTTTGCAGGATATCAATTAAATCAGGTATAAAATTGAAGTTATAGAAAGATAAGACATGGAGGGACATGGACGGAGTACAAATACTTCGATGGTTCTTCCTAGGATTCTTTTTTATGCTCTTGTTGGAATCTCTTTAGATTTGAGTGTAATTTATTTAATTGTATACTTTGTTAGGATATATATAAAGGTTTATGTTCTTGAATTTTTATTTTTATTTTTATTTATATACGACTACTTATAAGGTGATGTAATTTTAATATTAAGATCTTTTATGTATATTTTTCGATTCGGTATATTTGTTTATGTTCTTGTCGGTGATTATATTTGAAGGTTTATGAGATCTTGAAATATATAACTGCATATGCTTACAACCCAGCATATAAATAAATTATAAATATTGTTTTAATAATTCGTGATGCAAATGTGACTGTTCGAAACAAAATATAATTTTATTTAGTAAAATATTCGTGAGGGATATGTGACAGATGTTTTGTGACCGACATTTGTGACAAAAATTTCGAGACGGATATTTATGACAGATATTTTCTGACGGATTTTGGTGACACATAAGTTGTGACGGACATGATGTTTGTGACAAAATATGTGACAGATAGACAAAAAAACCTTCGATTAATTTGTGACAAATTAATGACAACATAAACAAGTTTGTGACAACATCCGTCACAAATTTTATGAATCTTGGACATAGTATTTATGACGGAATTATTTTTGTTAGTGACTGATATATCTGTGACAAATTACGTGACGGATCAATATATCCGTCACAATTTTGATTAGTGACGAGGGTGTTTTTCACGGACGTAATCCGTCACAACTCTGTCACAAATGCATGTTTGTGACGGATTTTCCTTAATTTAGTGACACAGTTGTCCGTCACAAAAGCCCCTTTTTTTGGTAGTGACTCCATTTGAGTTAAAAATTTATATTTTTTAGTGTTTAATGGTAGTTAAATGTTTGAATACACTATTTGATTACCCATTGGAATTGCTCTAACGGAAATATCATTTAAACATAAAATTACAGACGTCAACAATAGGGAAACCTCCGTCACATAAGCAAGATAATATGATGTTTTGAAGAGGAACAATTCTCCACACCAATTTACATAAAATGCATGCACATCTAGCAAGGTTAGGGATGAAACTTAGATGGATCGGATCGAAATTAGTCTTTTCGGAAAATTTCCAAAAAAAATCAGAAGTACAAAATCAATTCCAATTCCAATTCCAAAATTTTCGAAATTTAAAAATTCATTACATTTCCGAAAGACCTGGAAATTTCGGAATTTTGGATTTTTTTCGGAAATCACATAAGTTTTAAAATTTCAAAAAATAACGGAAATTTTCAGAAATTTTCCAAAAATAAGAACATTCACGTCGATAAAAGTAAAACTAAGAACTACTAAATTTCAGTTCAAAAAAATAAATAAAAATAAACCACATCATAATATCGAATAGAACTTCTAACAACAATTCAATATGTCAAATTCCTTAAAAAAAACTTAAATCAAATTATTGTTTTAGAAAATAAAACAAACTTTAAATACGAATTATAAAATATATATTATTTATAGGTGTGTTTTTTGAAAGAAAAAAAAAAACCAGAATTTTTCGAAATTAATTTCGGCAATTAAATCGGATCGGAATCGGAAATTCCAATTATTTTTAATATAATTCCAATTCCAATCCAAAAAAAATCGGAAAAATTCGGAAATCGGAATTTTGAAAGTCGGAATGAAAAAAGTTGTTCCGAAATCGGAACTTCTCGGATCAGAACCGGCGGAAATTGGAATTTTCGTTCCAACTTGCACTCTTAACATAAGCAAGGTTATAGGCCGCAAAATTAATATTTCTATAGAGATAACTTAAACTTTCATTTTGGCTCAACAAAGAGCACTTGTCCAACATACCAATCTCATTGTTTTTCCCATCCAAGTACTCTGTTGGTGAAAATACCTACACGCAAGTGCAGATATCGTACAAGTAATATAATGGACTAAAAGTTCGAGTATCGATCCCACGAGGAATATTAAACTGTCTTACTCTAAGCGCTGGATTATATCAACTATGTTCAAACTCACCCTACACAATCTAATATTGAGTTGATTTAACTAAACTAAACTAAATCAATAATAGCAATCAACTAAGCAAGCAAAAACAAGTACGCAAATAACACGAAGAGTGACCAAATTAAAAAGGCCTATGATTTTATCTACCCCCTATGTGATTATCGATCCCCCAATTCCCTCAATTATGCAAGTAATTAACTCGGATTACTAACATGACATGCTAAATTAATCATAATCCACTTTCGCGTATATTACGATTCTAATATTCAAGACTAAATTATTGTATTCCTACGCAATTCAATCAAGAACAAAGTATTAATCACAAATCTCAATAATGGCTACCTAAGAGGTTAACTATATTCATATGATAACACAACAAATGCTCTTCTACCACAGTTCTAATTGTTAAACCGATCTTCCGATTCTTGCATTCAACAATAACAATAAAGCACATAAAGTGATCAAGTTCATGCACTTAATAAATCAAGTAGAAGAAATAATCCAAAATTAATACTTGCATAAAATCATAGAATTGGGTTCACAAATCCCACATAGGGTTTGAATAAGATCCTAGAAACTAAAAACTTAGCTACTCGTAATTCTTATGATAAACAAAATAGAATTCATAACAGAAATAAGAAAAACTATGCTTGAGTCTTCGATCTTCGTTCTTCGCGTTTTGTGGTGTAAAAGTTTGTGTTTATGGTGTGAAACTTGTTGCTTTTATAGGCTTTTCTTGATAAGGAAGTAGTGCAAACCTAAAAGGATTCAATTTTCGCCACTTTGCCGCCCCACCAGAATATATATTCTGATTCTGAGCATATAATTAGAGTCCGAATGTTGGAAAGTTGCATGAAATAAGAGTTATAGCCCTTGTAAATAGTTTTTCAATGTCGTCGGAATCAGGTGATATGGAGTTCGTATGGAAGAGATGTGCTCGAAATTGTTGACACTGCCAAAGTTGTTGCGAGATTCCTTTTTCAAATTTGATTTATTTCCTTCTTTGCAACATTTTCATTTATTTTTA